TCTTATTTCTCTTTAAGAGATATCCTACTGACGCTGTGTTCGCAGTTCATTTTTCATATGTAGGTGGTGGACGGCAGGAGGAGCCCCTTCGTTTCTTCTGACTTCCCTGCAGAGATGACGACCGCAGGTCACGAGAAAGAGCTGCAGCAAGAAGAAAGAAGGTGAGGAGAGAAGCGCGACGACAGGGACGGGGACGGGGACGGGGACGGGGACGGGGACGGGGACGGGGACGGGGACGGGGACGGGGACGGGGACGGGGACGGGGACGGGGACGGAGGAGGAGCGTGTGGGCAGGAAGAGGAAGGGAGGAAGGGGAGACAAGGTGTGCTGAGCTCGTTGGCAGGGGACGGGAGGGAAGGGAAGGGATTTCATGGAGGAGATGAGCAGGAGTGCGGATCCGATGGAGTTGGCGAGGATGGAGGATGGGAAGGGACGGATGAGACGATCCTCGAGACAGGTAAGAGACCTGACCTTGTCGTCTGTCACTGATGCCTTTCTCCCTTCCCTGCTCCCTCCTTCCCGCTCCTGTTCTCCTTCCCGCTCCTGTTCTTCCTCTTCCACATCCTCTCCTCATCCTGTGTCCCTCCTCCCTCCTCCCTCACTCGTTCCATCCTCCTCCTCCCTTCTCTCCCCTTCTCTCTTCTCTCTTCCCTTTCTTCCCTCCTCCAGCATCGCCATGATACAGCGCTTGGCCCCAGCTCGAACCTTCCCGTCGGTTCGGTAAACACCGACCCTCTCGTCCTCCCATGGCTTGACCCTCCTCGTCAGGATTACTTTATGGATGACTCGATGGGACTCATGGTCCTCCTCCTCCTTCTCCTCCTCCTCCTCCTCCTCCTCCCTGCCTTCCTGTTGTCCTTGCTCCTCTCCCCGTCCCATCGTTCTCCTTCTCATCCTCCCTCTACTCGCTTCATCGTCTCTCCTCAACCTCGTTCACCTTTCCTCTCTCTCCTCTCTGTGCTCTCATCCCTTTGGCAGAGGAAGGAGCCCGTCGGTGACTTCGGCATGCACTATGAGGGGAACGATATCAGGTCTCTCAGCCCCTGCTCCTCCTCGATTCTTCTTAATCCTGCTCCTGCTCCTGCTCCTGCTTCTGCTCCTGCTCCTGCTCCTGCTCCTGCTCCTGCTCCGCCTCCATGGTTGAAGTTCGTTTATCAGCATCAAGATCCACGAACGGGCGAATGCAACCGAAGTCGGGAACTTGTTTCGTAAGGTGAGATCCTCCCTTCCTGTCCTCCTCCAGCTCCTCCTCCAGCTCCTCCTCCTCCTCCTCCTCCTCCTCCTCCTCCTCCTCTCCCATAACCTCCATCCGTTTCTTTCTCTTCTTTTGTGATGGTCCGATGCCTAGGACGTGCGGAATCGTTCGCGGGGGAGGATGAGCTCAATGTCAGAGGCAGAGACTCGGGTAGAAGAGGAGGGAGGAAGGGGGGGAGGAGGGGAGAGAAGGGGAGGGAAGGGAAGGGAGGAGAGGAGGTTGAGAGGGTCTGACAAGCGTCGCAGCATTTTGAGATGAAGAGAGAAGAGGAGGCGAGGAGGTCTCGGCAGACTCGGCCCAACTTTTCCGTGAAAGTTCACATGTGAGGATGGGAGGAGGAAGAAAAGGAGGGAGACAAGAGGAGGAAGACCAAGAGAGGAAGGAGCGGAGGAGGAGGTGCTGATGTGCACGGCCCAGGCGATTGATGCTTTCAGATTCAAGCAATCGGAGGTGAAGAGAGAGGGAGAGGGACAGAGAAGAAGACGAGGAAGTGAGGTTCAATCAGGTGGATCGTAAACTCTTTTGATGGAGCCTTCACCATCGGTCGATCGTCCAAGTGCAACATTGGTGATCCTCCTTCCCTCCCTCCCTTAGTTTCTCGCTCACTCGCTCCTTCTTCTCTCTTCTCTCGTTTCGCTTCCTTACTTTCCTTCAGTCCTCAACAAGCAGACGCATCCGTCCGTCTCTTCCCTTCATCTCTCCATCGAGTACAACGAGCAAACCCTTGCCTTCGAGGTCACAACCTCTTCTCCTCCCTCCCTTCCTCCTCCTCTCCTCTCTTCCCTCCCTCCTCCTGATCCACAATCTCCCTCCTCCTCGCCCCTTCTCTCGCTTTCCTCCTTCCTCTCGCATCTTCTTTGTCGATTCTCCTCGATCCTCAAAACGTTCAGGCGACGGACTCGTCAGCTTCCGGCAGTTTGATTTCTGACCATTTCATCCGCAACGACTCTCTCATGCTCCAGGTCCTTTCAGTCTCTACACCTCCCCCTCTCT